AAAGTGCTGGAGACACTCGGCAGGTTCTGAGAAAGGCTTCTGAACCCGAAATGTTAACTCTGTTTTCTCTACAGATGTTGCCAGACCTGCTGAATCTCTCCAGCAACTTCTGTTTTTGTGTGTTACAAAGGAACTAATGTTGATTCCTGTATGAAATTTATCAAAGTTTTACATAAGGACAGTTCTCTTTCTTACACATGTTTTCTACTGTTATGTGGGGAATACTATGACAGTTTTTTAACTTTTACTGTAACTGTTTTATGATGGCTTAAATTGGAACCAAAATGCGCAGTTTTCACCATTTCCATTTGTAAGCAAATAGGTGGGAGAAGAGCCTACTGACCTCAAATCAGAGGGTTGGCAAGTGTTGTACTGTCATCGATTTTGCACTGGCTCCATGTTCATACGCTGTTCCCTATGAGGCATGATGTTCCTGTTTCTATTTGATGTATTTATCATCTCTTTGGTCACCTGTCTGCCAATTTATCTTTTGCCTTTTCGGTTTTGAACCACAACTGGAAGTGATTTGTTTTTTTGTATTGTCTGTTTGCACCATGTTCCTGAGCCAGTTGGATCATCTTGGCTGCAATTGGACTGCTACCTTTCATTAACCCTTCTCTGCCTGAATTGACCACGATTAAACTTGTTCCTGCATCACTAACCAGCTGAGTTTATTGTTGCAATGATCAGTCGAAGGAGCTGGGCTGTGGTTCTCTTTCATATTAATGTTGGACAAGCAGGTTGTTGTCTTGTTTTCTGTAGCTTTGTTATGCAGTTGCCTGTTGGATGTGAGTCAGGCAAAGCTTTGTTGGTGACTCGTGCTCTATACTGGACCTGTAAACTTCTGGTGTCTGCTCTTGTCTACCTCAGATGTGTTCCTGGTTTTGTGTAAACAAGATGATGAATCTTACCCAGTGCTTCTCCTTTGTTTTAGAAAATAGAAAAGGAAAAACGCTCCCTCAGTCCGGAAAGTTTCCATATGTTCAAGCCCCCAAAGGTTTATGTTTTTTTTTACGTTTTTTTTTAAAAAGCCTCGTAATTTTGATTTTTCCAACTAGATGTTTTTCTAGTTGTGTTAAGCATTTGTTTAAATTCTGTACTTGTATGTATATGTCCTGTCTGTTGTCCATTGCTTATCGTAATTTTTCTCATGAAATATTCACCCCGTTCATTTCTTGAATAATTGGTTTGACAAGCACAGAAGATAAAGGCGTCATTTGAATAGGATGACTGTTTTACAAAATTGACCTAAGCAAAAATGCAAGTTAGGAGGAGTTTGATTCTTTGTGAGAGATCAAATGTCTTTTGTTAAAACTTTTGTCACCTTTGTGTTAAGTTTTAATAACCAGAATAGCTATGGTGTGGGTGTGGGACAGGCAAGTGGAATATACGCCGAAGAGCCTTGAAATCTGGTCAGTCACCAGTGAGAATGACCTTGATACACAGTGGAGCGTAATGGAACAATGCTTTAGGTGATGAAAAGCTTGGAACGGCGTAGCTGGTGTTATTGAGCAAGTGCCTATCCTTGAGAAATAACTTTTTCAGAACCTCATTCTTGGACAATGGGTGGTGTTGGCAAGCCAGCATTTGTTACTCATCCATTGTTGCTCTGGAAAGGACATCAGAGCACAATTTCCTTGAACCATTGCGATATACGCGTTAAAGATACTTCTGCTGTTCTGCTGGCTAGGACTTGAAGGATCTTGATCCAGTAATGATAAAAGAATGAGGATGAATATCAAATGAGGAGAATGTCTGCTTCGGGGAGAACTTGACATTGGTTTCATAAAACATTTTTTCAAAAAAAGGATGATTGTTCTTTTGAGTCTGCTGTGCTGTCCAGTCCAATCAAGACTGGCTTTATCTCCCCTTTCCCTCTTGCGGCCTATATCCTTTGATTCACTGAGAGACAAAAAGTACACAAGGCTTAAATCTATGCCATGATGGAGAGTCAGTGACCCTTTTTGTGTTCCCACCTGCCTACTGCCCTTTCCCTTCTAGAGTGCAAACGTTGCAAGTTTGGGTGATGCTCTGGAGGGTTTCTACTGTGGATGCTAGAGATGGTACACATTATATTTACAATTCCCTGGTGATGGAAGAACTGGATTTTTTAAGGTAGCAGATGAGCTGCTATGTCCTGGATGGTGTCAAGCTTCTGGAGTTCTATCGCACTGAAGGTAAAACAAAGAATATTCTGGAATGCTGTCACCAATTTCCGTCAGAAGGGCCTTTTTGGAATCTGATGTGCATCTGATGAGGAAGACTTCGAAGCGCATGAGGAACTTGAGTCCTGTGCTACCCTCTAATTGAAAATTGTTCAAGGGAGCTGTAGCAAACTGAGATACTGTGCACACTTAAGCAAATAATGAAAAGTTTGGAGATTCATGGCGAACAATTGGATGTTGTGCCTTATTCAATAAACAAGGTAGAATCTGAATACTTGAAAACTGATTACCTGGAGGATACAGAGCATAGAGCAGTAAGAATATTACCAGTTAGCTTGGCTTTGAAAAGGACCTCCGTTGGAAAGCTTTAGATAAATATTTGCGTTTATCTCACGGGAATGAAAAGCAAGTTTCCACAGTAAGCCATCCTAAATCTGTGTTGGATTTGAAATAGGAAATGCTGTGCCACCTTGTTTATTTTGTCAGTGCATAATCGCCTTGCATTTGGATGATAATATGGCTGTATTACAGCTGTGTGTGTAAACTCAATTACCTCATGAATCTGGAAGTAGAGTCTTGATTATAGAGAATATCAATATTTTTATATAAGCTATTTTAATTTTACCTTTGCATGTAAATTTGAGAGACAGTGAGATAAAGTTTGTTTCGCAAGTGAAAAATGTATTGTTTCACATGTGCTGCAGATACAGGTTACCTGGAAATGTCTTGTCAAATGAACTAAAGTTCATTTAATGTTGCTTCCTGTTGTAGATGGGGTATAATAAGGAAACTAGTATTGCAATTACTAAATTATTTAGGAGGAAATTACTGCAGCTGCTGGAAATCACAGTAAGGTCAGGTAGCATCCATGGAGAGAAAGCAAGCTAACATTTCGAGTCTTTCATTTACAAAGTTTACCAATTCGGAGTTCCATTAAGTAACAGGAATAGTCACAAAGCAAAATCCTAATGCAGCATTGCTGTTATTTTTCGTGTTAATTGAGTATTGAGGTTAATTGGTGGTTTCCAGGAAAAACATTGATTTACTGTACATCAGAAAAGGAAGGATATCATTTGTTGAAAGGCAACCTCATTATTATGTCCTGTATGCAGTTGTGAAACAGGCAGAAAGATAACATGAGAAGAGTTTGGAATATCTCGCATCACAATGGTGTCAAACAATACACTAAATAACATTTATTTTCAGAAGCATTTGCAAATATGAGTGATTCAACCAAAGTTCTCCCATCTCCCATGTTCCCTGCTGCTACTATTTACATGCCTTCTTAATTAATAGTTTTGAACCTCCATCCCATAACATAGAATAAAAAACTGGTTCCGTTATATGCTACCTATTTAGTGCACAGTTTTATAAATTTGGTTTATTGTCAAATGAAGTGTTGCAAAAAATAAATCAGTGAATTGGCAAAGTATGTTCTCTTGCATTTACAATTTGTTGATGTAGTGACACAAATTCTGGTGCTTCCTGTGACAAATGTTGTATTTGGATGTAAAGCAAACTGATACAATCAGCCTCAACTAAGATCAATGCAAACTGTGCTTTATATGGGTAGGATATTGAACTGTTGACCATGTAGTATTAACATGCTTCTCCTTGTGATGTTTTTTCTCTCATCAAGAATGCAAGAATTCTCTGGAACCTTGCATCATACCAAAAAAATGTGCAACAGTTGGATTTTGGAAATGGTCTCACTCTTCGTAATTAGACATTGCATTTTGGGTTCATTTATGATTTCTCCCCCCACAATGCCCACAGTTTGTTTGAATGGATGTAAAGACATCAGCATGCTGGCAAGAACAAGATCTACTGGATTTAATGACCATCAACTGAATCATTGTAAATGTGTTAGATATTGCATGACCATTGCTGAAAAGGTGAGTTTGATCGTACCAAGGCGAGACTTGTCTAACTGCTCTGGTGCAATCTTCTTTTATAAAATTGAGGTCAATATTACGCCCCTCAATTCTTTCATTTCCAAGATGACAGTAGATTGGAGACCACCTTTTTTTCATCCACTCCAGAGTCTTGTCACCTGCAGTATCCTTCTACTCAGAGGGATAAGACTCTGAGAAATGAATGACAACTGTCCATAATGTTGCACAATCCATGGATAGAAAGTGTGACCACATCAGTTGAGATGTCTACCTTGTGAATCTACCCAACTGAAACAGACAGGTCGAAACAAATCGCATCTCTGAAATTTAACCCTGCAATTTCCTGCTGTGCAGGTGGGTGGAAGTTGTCTTAATTTGTTATCCAGATGAAATAAATTAAATATATGCGCAGTCAGAAAATGTATATGATAGTTTTTTTTTTAATGTAATGGCATATTCTGGATCCTCTGTGCTTTTAGATTTTAAATTTTTCATCTCCCTTTTTGGAAAGACGTCAGATTTCTTCTGGAAGTATTTAGTTGTTTTAAGTTATTCTTAAGGTGTTTGTATTATGTTTGTTTCAGTTTACATTTTGACTTCTGTTTTCTGTGGCATAAAGTCAATTCAAAAGTTCATAACCTGGCCTTTTCTAAAAATGAATTATGAATTACACCTTTGCTTTATTTCATTGTCTAATTATTGTGCCACTGTTGCTTTTTAGAATTGTTTTAACATAAGTGTAAGCCACATCATCTATTTCCAAGTATTACTAGCTTCAAACAGGAATTTCCTGTCTAAATGCAACGATGACCATTGTCCCTCTGGCTCACAAATACCTTTTAGGGAAGAAAATCTGACATCCTTGCCTGCTCTGGCCTACATGTTACACCAGACCCACTACCAATGTCGTTGACTCTCAAAGGCTCTCTGGGCAGTTATGGATGGGCAATAAATACTGACCAATGATGTCCATGTCCCATGAATGAATAATAAAAAAAAACTAATTTAAGCAATACATAGATATTACTAAGGTTTTCTTAATGTATTTTTTTGTCATCATAGTAATTTCAGGTAGTAATTTTAATAATTTTAATATACAGGGCATTTTCATGTACGTTAGCAATCAGCATGAGTTTGGACGGCTTCTTCCTACTGAGAATTACAATGCCTCACATGTGCATGGTGATCTGTGGGAAATATTTGCCAACCCATTGGTGAGTATTAGCAATTTGTTAACCAGGTTTTGGATTTTACATACACATTTCAAAGCCCATTGTTAAATGATGTTTTTAACCTAACTCTTTGTAAATATCCACCCTTCCTTTTCCTCAGATAACCAATTATTCTTTAATGTAAACATTCATAAGAACTTGAAGCAGGAGTAGGCCGTTCAGTCCCTCGAGCCTGTTTCTCCATTTAAGGGAGATGATGGCCTAGTGATATTATCACTGGACTGTTAATCCAGGGACCCAGATAACGTTCTGGGGACCCAGGTTCGAATCCTGCCACGGCAGATGAATTTGAATTCAATAAATATCTGGAATTAACAATCTAATGATGACCGTGAATCCATTATCGATTGTCAAGAAAAACCCATCTGGTACACTAATGCCCTTTCGGAAAGGAAACTGCCATCCTTGCCTGGCCTACGTGTGACACCAGACCCACAGCAATGTGGTTGACTCTTAACTGCCCTCTGGGCAATTAGGGATGGGCAATAAATGCAGTGATGCCCTCATCCCGTGAATGAATAAAGAAAAAAAAACGATCTCATCCTGCTCTCAACTGCATTTTCCTGCCTGCTCCTCATAACCCTTCAACCTATTACTAATTCAAAATATGTTGATTTTTCTCCTTAAGTTTACGTAATGTCCTGGACCCACTGCACTCTGAGGTAGTGAATTCCATAGATTCACGTCCCTTCAACAGAAGTAATTTCTCCTCACCTCTTTTAAATTTGCTACCTCTTATCCTAAAACTATGTCAAAACAAACTTCAAACCCCAAACTTCCAAATGTGTAAAGATATAATTTTTTCAGTGATATGAGATGGTATTACTGATCACAATCACAACATCTTTCCTATAGCTCTCTGCGTTCAACCTCATCTGCCACCTCTCCATCCACTCCACCAATTTGTCAAAGCCCTTTGGAGTTCTCTACTGTCCTTCTCACAGTTTATAATTCTTCCACTTTTAGCGTTGTTTGCAAACTTGGAAATTGTCCCGTGCATACCGAGATCCAGATCATTAACATATATCAGGAGAGATCTCCCTGGGGAGCTCCACTAAAGCCTTCCACCAGCCTGAAAAATATCTATTGACCATTACTCTCATTCCTATCACTGAGTCAGTTTTGTATCCATGTAGCTACCATCCCATTTATACCGTAATCTATACATTTCCTCAGGAGTCTGTGGTGTGGTATTGCATATGTATTCTGTACCATATTTAAAATGTTAACATCAGGCAAGAGGCCCAATTTTCCAATGTTCCCCTCAGAAACATCCTTTAACAGTTTGTCAGTAGCTCTGCAACCACAGAATCTTACAGCACAGGAGACTGGCTTTCAACACATTGCAGCTGTGTCAGCTTTCAAATTAGTCCTACTGCCCTGCTCCTTTGTTAGCACCTTGCAATTTTCTCCCCTTCATGTGTTTATTCAATTTTCTTTTGAAACCTTCTATTGAATCTGCTTTCACTAGCCTTTCAAGCAGTACATTCCAGATGTTAGGAATGGGTTACTTAAAAGAAATCTCACCCTTGGTTATTTTGTCAACTACCTTAAATCGCCGTTCCTTGTGTAATGCGTATGTTAAAACTATTTTCTCTTTTTCACAACGGCAATTACCAGACTCTCTTTCATTAAAATGTAACTACGGTCACTATGTTACCCGTTGACTTTCATCTACTGGATGATGTTCATTGCAGTGAATGTATTTCTTCCTAGTTCTGAAAGCTTGGCTGCTAATATAATGCATGCTTCCCTTTCATTTTGTCACCGCTGTATCCCTTTCATTCACAGCTGGCTGGCAAATTGCAACATTTGTTTAAGCGCATAAAATTTACAATAGTCAACAAAAAAACCCAGTGAACCATAAAACAAGTCTCATGTTATATCATAAATATCACTAAATTACAGCAAAGCAAATGTCTTTTAGTCAGCTCCATAACTGGTCAAAAAAAAACCCAGAAAATGGTGTGTTGAGCAATGAATAAAATATAAATTTTGTTTGGGTACTAAATCTTAATCTTTAAATGCTTCATGCTTCTATTCTATAGATCCTGGCAATGTGCATGATTTTGCAATATGATATTTACAACATTTTGTAATATAAAAGACATGCACTCTAGATCTCAATATGTCTGTATGACAAAGCATAAAATAAATTCATTGAACTATTGCTTAGTCTGCCACACATTATACTGTGGATAAACAGCCTGCAGAATTACTGCAAATGACAAAACATTCATTATCATTGATCATTCCTACCTCAGTAAAGTATAAGGCACCAAAGGAATCTAATCTCGTAACAATATTGATTTCTTCTGAAGACTGTCATTAGATGATGGACGAAAATTGTACAGTTGCAGCAAGATTTATAAGCACTAACTTATCAACAACTAAGCCACTATTTATGCAAACAGTCGAGTGTTAGAATGTTTGATCAAAAAAGACTATTGCAAGGCATTAATGTACCTTAAGGTCTAAATTGTTCCATCTCTGTTCTCAATGCCACTGGATTAATACTAAACGTGTCAAGCTTACTGACTATCATATTACATGTGATAAATATATATGATGTGGAGGTGCTGATGTTGGACAGGGTTAGATCAGTGTAGCTCCTTCGTCAGGTGGAGTGACAAAGGAGCAGCGCTCCGAAAGCATGTGATTTCAAATAAACCTGTTAGACTATAACCTGGTCTCATGTGACTTATGACTGTGAAACTTGAAAGGGTTCAGAAAAGATTTACAAAGATGTTGCCAGAATTGGAGGGTTTGAGCTATAGGGAGAAGGTGAATAGGCCGGGGCTATTTTCCCTGGAGCGTCGGAGGCTGAGGGGTGACCTTATTGAAGTTTATAAAATTATGAGGGGCATGGATAGGGTAATTAGCCAAGGTCTTTTTCCCAGGCTGAGGGGAGTCCAAATCTAGAGGGCATAGACTTAAAGTGAGAGGGGAAGATTTAAAAGGGACCTGAGGGCAACATTTTCGCTCAGAGGGTGGTGCATGTATGGAATGAGCTGCCAGAGGAAGTGGTGGAAATGGGTACAATAACAACATTTAAAAGGCATCTGGATGGGTATATGAATAGGAAATGTTCAGAGGGATATGAGACTGGATTAATTTACGATATCTGGGTATGGACTGAAGGGTCTGTTTCCTTGCTGTACATCTCCACGACTCTATGAATCTAAGTGTGAGTTGATACTTTGTCGGAAGAGCATGAAAGGCAATTAAAAAAGGGATCAATTCTAAAGGGGAGCAGGAGCACAGGAACCTGGGTGTATATGTGCACAGATCGTTGAAGGTAACGACAGTTGGAGAGACCAGTTAAGAAAGTGTGGAGTGTCCTTGACTTTATTAATGGGGAAATAGAGTACAAGAGCAAGCAGATGATATTGAACTCCTATAAGGCACTTTTTAAGACTCCAGCTGGAGTATTGTGTCAGATTATGGGAAGGATGTGAATGTATTGGTGAGAGTGCAAAAGCAATTTACAAGAATGGTTTAGGGGTGAGAAACTTCAGTGATGAGGACAAATTAAGAAGTTGGGTCTGTTCCCCTTGGAAAGAATAAGGCTGAGAGGAGATTTGATAGAGGGTTTCAAAATCATGAGTAGGCTGGACAGAGTAGATAGGGAGAAGCTGTTCCTGCTTGAATAAGAAAAAAGAACAAGAGGGAATAGATTTAAAGTGATGTGCAAAACTAGCAAAGGGCAACTTAAGAAAAATATATGAAGCAGTTTATTTCGACTATAACTTATACACGGCATGATCTTGCCCTTCATTTTAGAAACATATTTCATTATTTCTCTCTCTTTTGTGGTACTGGTTATAATTTACAGTAGTCACTTTTTTAATAGAAATGATTTTGGTTTGATGCACTGCATTTAATTGCCCTTTGACGAGTGCAGTACAGAGAGAAAAGATGTCTTAGTAACGAGAGGATGGGAAAACCAGGTAGGAAGCTGTAACGTTATAATTTGCGGGATCCACAACCAATTAAATCACTGCCCTGTGGGGTCTTGCTGGGAGAGAAGAATTGTGAAGGTGTGAAAAGCAATTCATTTTCAAGTACTAGAGTTTCATAACACACCATTATATTTTATTTGTATGCATGTTTTCACACCGCTGTTAAATCGGTTGGGAAATACATTTCTAATACAAAGACATTGACTTATATTTATATAACTGGAAGTGTAGTGTATATCAAAAGGGAAACATTAATTGCATAGTGGACTATAGGTACTTCATCCATCTCTCATGGGGTAATGTAGGATGTGAGTAATTCAGATGTCTGTGTCCTGGAGACACCAGGATCCCACTGTTTGTCCTCACTGATAATCGTCTATGAGTTTCGAAGAATGAGGAGGGATCTCATAGAAACCTGTAAAATTCGAACAGGACTAGACAGGGCAATTGCAGGAAGCATGTTCCTGATGGACAAGAGTGTCCAGATCCAGGGGTTCACAGTCTAAGGATACAGGGTAGGACTGAGATGGGGAGAAATTTCTTTACCCAGAGAGTGGTAAGCCTGTGGAATTTGCTCCCACAGAAAGCGGCTGAAGCCAAAGTACTAATTGTTTTCAGCAAAAAGTTAAGTATAATTCTTGGAGTTAAAGGGGATGGGGAAAAGAGCAGGAACAGGGTATTGAGTTCAATGATCAGCCTTTTTTTTATTCATTAAAAGGGATGTGACTGTCGCTGGCTGCTCAGCATTCTTGCCTGTTCCTCGTTGCCCTTGAAAAGGTACTGGTGAGCTGCCGCCTTGAATCGCTGCCATATTGAATGGCGAAGCAGGTTTGAAGGAACAAGTGGCCTATTCCTGCTCCTATAATCTAGGTTTCTTATATGTTTCTTAAGCAGGGACGCAGCCAAAAGCTGTAGGATCCTGCTTTATCTTTTTTTTAAATCAACCTGCTCGGAGACACCTCTGTGACAGGTGGGACTAGGAGCACCTAATCCAGAGATAGTGGCTCTACCACTACACCACCAACCTTCCAAATGATGTTTCTTTATACACGTGTGGTATCCAGATGTTATGATTGAGTTCGGACTGTAAATTTGGGCAAGAAAGATGTTGTGGATTCCCTCAGGACATAAGGAGGGTCAAGCCCAAAAGAAGTTAGAAAGAAAGAGCTGTTTCTCATTCTTATTTTGTGCAGGCGTGTGATGCTCAAGGAGAGCAGAGACACTTCTTCATGATCAGTAATACCACTGCAGTCCCAGGTTAATCCTTCCAGCACCACCACTACACCCCCCGCCCCAAGACTTGTTATTTATTCATTTGTAGTATATAGTCAGAAGTGACACCACCTGACAAAGGGGCAGTGCTTTGAAATTGTAATTTCAAATAAACCTACTGGGCTATAACCTGGTGTCGTGCAACTTTTGACATTGTCCACCCCAGTCCAACACCTGCACCTCCACATCTTGGGCATTGTTGGCAGGGCTGAGAGCAGGTTGGATTTTAGAGTCAGGACCGCACTGGATAGAGAGTAGATATGGAGAAGCTGTTCCCACTTGTAAAAGGAACAAGAGGGTATAAATTCAAAGTGATGTGCAAATGAAGCAAGGATGAAATGAGAAAACACTTATTGACACAATGAGTGGTTAAGGTGTAGAATGCACTGCCTGTAAATGTGGGGAGACCGGCTCAATTGAGACATTCAAGAGGACATTGGATGGTTATTTGGATAGAAATAGTGTGCAGGGATGTGGGCAATGGGCAGGAGATTGGACTGGAAGATTGTGCCAGCACTGGTTCTATGGGCTGAACAGCCTTCTGCACTGTACCAATTCGATGATTCTGAGTCACCTGCCCGTATAACAAACTGAGATGTTGCCTGGCAGATCTGACCGAACTTAAAGCACATTGGCATCCCCATGCAGATGCACTCTGATTTTCTCTGCTATGTAGCTCTGCCTCTTCAAAGCCATGAGCTGGCTTCATCCTTTGCTGTAACCTCCAGACTATCAGTTTTATTTCTAAAGAAGGGTCCTGACCCGAAACGTCAGCTTTCCTGCTCCTCTGATGCTGCCTGGCCCTGCTGTGTTCATCCAGCTCCACGCTGTGTTATCTCTGACTCCAGCATCGGCAGTTCTTACTATCTCAGAGTTTTATGTTTTGCAGGATTGGAGGGAAAAGTACATTCATCCGAGCTACACAGAAATATTCACAGGGAATGTGGTTGAAGAGGTATGTAATGGTTTGCTGAGAGTAATCAAATCACTTGTCTACTCATTTATTTGCTACTCCATACAGATAATCATTGAAAACTGTTTCAGTAGCTGCTGTTGTATCTATCCATAGGCTCATGGCCGTCTCCGCAGTATACAAAATGTACAACCACCATGTATATCTAGAGCAGCACACTATAAAGGTTTTTCAAGGGGGTCGGTCAGCTCAGTAGGCTGGACAGCTGGTTTGTAATGCAACTGAACTTAGCCTGAAGGATTCTCCTCTCAACTCTTCCCCTGACCTGAGGCGTGATGACCCTCAGGTTAAAACATAATCAGTTGTCTGTCTCTGTCTCCCTCTCTATGATGAGAGAGCAGTCCTGTTGTTCAGTAGGAGTGTGGCAACTTTACCTTTTTATAAATGTTTTCCATTGTGACCCTCAACTCCTTATAAATTATAATCCTCTCGTCTAAACATTCCTGCCAGTCACTTCTCATGGTCTAGTAAGAACGGAAAAAACTGCAGATGCTGTAAATCAGGAACAAAAACAAAGTTGCTGGAAAAGCTCAGTAGGTCTGACAGCATCTGTGAAGGAATAAACGGAGCCTAGTGTCTCATGTTCATTGTTAGAATTAGAATGAGATTTTATTGTCATGTGTACTCAAGTTAAAAGATGAACGTTATGCTGCAACTAAAATCTTGTGGCTAGGATTGAACACTACAGTGCCTCTGATGCAAGGCTAGATTGTGTAGTTTAAAATTTCCTGTACACCGCCTAATACAATAGATTTTGAATGCACGGTTTCATTATCCACATTTCCAAAAAGTTACAGGAGAACTGAAACAGAAGATCCCACCTCACAAATACATTGTTTTTCCCTATAATCCCATAATGTATCTGGTGTTGATTTACATTTATCAATTAAATATTCAGTAAAGAGAAATGTGCATGATTAGGGGTTAGTGTTGGATGGCTAGAGGAGGAGCAAGAATACAGCCTGTATTTATTAGACAGAAGAACTTGTAAGTTCTGTGTCTGCCCCACAATGCCATAGACCTTAAAATGACAAAACACTGTCCTTTCTATTACCTTACCATTATCATAGATGTGCTTACAATCTCATCCAGATTTCAGTAAGACAACTGGATCCATTGTAGAATAATCTCAAAATATTGCAGCAGTGCGAAAATGACAAAGCCAACAGTGACTTAGATAGTAGTTCATTCTTATAGAATCAGAGGTCGACAGCATTTGGTCATTGAGTCTACGTCAGTCAATAATAGCCACTAAACTATTCTAATCCCATTTTCCAGCACTTGGATATAGCTTTGTATGTCATTGCAAGTGGATATCTAAATATTTGTTAAATATTATGAGGATTTCTGCCTCTTGCAACCTTAGATTCCCACCATCCTCTGGGTGAGAAAGTTTATCCTGTCATCTCCTGTAAACTTCCTCCTGCTTACCTTAAATCCGTGGCCCTTGGACTATTGATCCCTCTGTCAAGGGGAAAAGTTTCTTCCTGTCCACCTTATCTATCCATGTCCCTTGTAATTATATGCATCTCAATCATGCCCGCTTTCCCCCCCCCCCAACTCCCCTTGCAGGTCTGATTTTAAAACAAATTCATCTTAAATCCCACGGTAGTGTTGATCTGTGTGGTTCCTTAAGACTTTTAGTTGCCACCATCCAGTGAGGATTGCAACCGGTATTTGCACAGCAGCGATTTAATGCAGACCTTGTTTCTTCTTCTGTGCCTGGCAGCCGTGCCCAGATGTCTTCTGGTTCCCCATATTTTCGGAGACAACATGTGATGAACTTGTGGAGGAAGTAGAAAACTATGGCATATGGTCTGGTGGAAAGAACGAGGTGAAATCTTGGATTTTTATGCATTAATTCCATGACCCTACACTTTCTTCTGTCTGAGCCATACTTTATTTGTACGTTTTATGGCCCATGTATTGGAGTTGGCAGGTTTTGCTTCTAGTCTCTAACATCTGTTTTTTTAAAGACATTTTCAATGTTTTGTCTTTCCCGCACTCCTTCCACTTGCCACTACTTTGTCTTGCCCACTTTACTAATTCACTTGAAATCTGGATAGAGTTTCTTCTCCACAGATCTTTGTCACTCTGTATCTCTCTCCATCCTTGAAGCGTAGATTTGTTCACAATATCATTTCAATTGGCTTGGTGTCAAATTTTGTCTGAATATGTACGCCTGTAAAGTGCCATTAGTTTAATAAAGGCAACATGTAAATGCAATAGCACAGTCAAAACAGGATAGCAAAATTTTAGAAACAATGAATTAATACAGTCACAAAAACTGAGAATTTTTAGTCAGGAATTCAGAGACCATAATATGTTTGCCTCTATAACTTTTCTTGTGGCTTGTGTGAATCTGGGAGATCTCAGCCCAGTAACTCATCTGTTCTACCTCAGGATAGCCGTCTGGTTGGTGGATATGAGAACGTTCCCACTGATGACATTCACATGACCCAGGTTGGACTGGATCAGGTGTGGCTCCAATTCATTCGGGAATATATTGCACCAGTGGCCCTCAAACTTTTCTCTGGCTATCACACCAAGGTAGGACTCTTCCTGCACCAGTATTTAATGTTGAAGGACAAAATACCCTATGTCTTGGTGTTTGCTCATCAGTTGCATTAAACAAGCTGGAAACATTGCCACTTTATCCTTCCTGTAACGCAACAAACTCATGAGCTGAGGTGATTAAAATAAAATGTTCTCTTGTGTTTGCACATGTTCCTGAGTGTGATCCCATTCCTCAAAATCTGTTCTTTCTCTTACAACTTTGTTAATCTGCTGGAGTTATTATATCAATGTTGACTCACTCCCCGAGATTGGCACTCTGTAGTGGTGTTTATTTCATGAGCTAGTACAAGCACAGTGGGCTGAATAGCTCCTTCTGCATCAAAACAGCTCTGAGATTTTAGTTGATGTTGTTTCTGACCTAACTTTTTCAGTTACAAGTGGCGTTAAAAGTATTGGTCATCAGACAATTTAGGCTGCATTCTTAATATTTAATGCATAAATATCTGGGTTTCGATAGCCTTTTTGAATGTATTGCGCAAGCCAAAGGTTATTAAAGTGCAATTGATGACTACACCAATGCCATCACAGCATTATAAAAATGATTAAGCAGCTGATAGTTTTCAATTTGATTTTAATTTTTCCCCAGGGCTTTGCTATGCTGAACTTTGTTGTAAAGTATACGCCAGAGAGGCAGGCATATCTAAGACCTCACCATGATTCCTCTACATTCACTATAAACATCGCCTTAAATAATAAAGGAATAGACTATCAGGTGGGTTATACATGTCCCTTGTATTACTTTATTCTGTCAATAAGTCCAACAGTGTCTAAAAACCAAAAGAACTGGGGATACTGTAAATCAGGAACAAAAACAAAGTTGCTGGAAAAGCTCAGCAGGTCTGGCAGCATCTGTGAAGGAGAAAACAGAGTTAATGTTTCGGGTCCGGTGACCCTTCCTCAGAACTGATGGTGGCTGGGAAAACGTCAGTTTATATGCAGAAAATAGGGAGGTGGGTGGGGTAGGGAGTAAAAGATAGGATAGAGCCCAAAGAGAGAGAAAGATAGTTGGACAGACAAAGGAGTTGCTCACAAGTGTCTTCTCACTTCCATCTTCAGTAAATAATGAGGGTATAGGTAGAGTTAAAGGTAGACTACTTTTGCCTAGGATGGGGGATTTCAAGACTAGGGGGCACATTTTTAAGGTGAGACAAGATTTAAAAAAGACATGACGGGCACAGAGTGTGGAATGAACTTCCTGAGGAAGTGGTGGATATGGCTACAATTATAATGTTTAAAACACATTTGGGTAAATACGTGAATAGGAAAAGTTTGGAGGGATAGGGGCCAGGAGCAGGCCGGCATGGTTTAGTTTGGGATTATGTTTGGCGTGGACTGGTTGGACCGAAGGGCCAGTTTCCGTGTTGTATGCCTCTATGTCCTTGCTTTTAAATATATTTAAGTTCCTACTCTACCTTTTCATTTTTCCTAACTGGAAAGTAGCCAGAGGAGGAAATGCATTTAGCCTTTTAACTGACTCTTTAACATTCTGCTCCTCCTTGAAAGTGATCTGGGAACTTTGTGAGTTGTAACATTTATTAGCCCTGGTTTTCCTTCCTCATTCATCCTCCACCCCAGTGCTCCCCACATTCTTCCTCATCACCCTCACCCATCCTGGATGTACACCAACTCCCTGTCATTGTGTTCCCCATATCCTAATTTCCAGAGGAAATAGTCTTTATGACAATATACACCTGTCAAAGAGCTACAAAAATAAAATTGCCGTTGATTGTCAGAAAAACCCATCTGGTTCACTAATTTTCTTTAGGGAAGGAAACTGCCATCTTTACCTGGCCTGGCCTACATGTGACTCCAGACCCACAGCAACATGGTTGACTCTTCACTGCCTGATGGGCAATAAATGCTGCCTGGCCAGTGACACCCTCATCCCATGAATGAATAAAAAAAAACTCTCAAAAAAATTGCTCGAGCGTATAGCTTAACATCAAACATCTGCTGTTGTCAGCTAAAAATCTTCCTCAGCCCTTTTAATTGGCAAACTGAGAACCATTTTCAGTTATTTTATACTGATTTTCTTTTATTCATTCACGGGATGTGGGCATTGCTGGCTGGACCAGCATTTATTGTCCATCCCTAATTGGGGGGGAAACAATGATAGCTGATCATTTGATTGTTGCTGAATGTTGAGTTTGCAAAATGCCACAGGTGAAATAAAGTTGCACCAGCTGAATTTTTCCAGTGTTATTTTTATTCCAATCTCCAGCATCCAAAATCTTTTGCTGTGGTGAAAATCAAGGCCTGGCTTTAAGTAAAAACATATTTGTCTTTATTCTGTCAATGCATCATCATGTCCGGTCATAGCCCAAATGTCTTCGTTTAGTCAAATTTCATTATAAGATTTGTTGCTGCATGGTTACAAAGATTCTTCATCTTATCTGTGTTGTCTTGGATTGATTTTTCCCTACATCATCCATGATCCCAGCAAATAGCTCACATTAAAGTCAATGAGCTGGACCTCTTAATGAGATATGCATCATCATTATTATAAAATCTGGTTATAGTCAATCAGATTCGCCTCATTTCACATTGCTATTTGAGACAGATTTTTAACTCCATTTCCACTCCTGCAGAAGACCGACCATGTGCAGGTGATACCTGACATGCTCTGATTTATAATCCTGTTTTCAGTGATATTGCTAACATTACTATAAGTTTCAGATCTACCTCAGAGATATTCTTTCAGATGGTGTGATTATAGTCACTATCAAAGGACATCTGAGCATTCTATACCCAGTTATGTGACTGTACCAGCCCGGTGCCAAACAATTAGTTATACAACAGCATAACCAAGGAGGTGAAATGATAGCAACCTTACCCTAGCGTGTGATGTGAACTGGATATTGTATCTTTGGCATTGTTTCTCTTCATAGAACATAGAACATAGAACATTACAGCGCAGTACAGGCCCTTCGGCCCTCGATGTTGCACCGACCTGTGAAACCAATCTGAAGCCCATCTAACCTAAACTATTCTATTATCATCCATATGTTTATCCAATGACCATTTAAATGCCCTTAAAGTTGGCGAGTCAACTATTTTTGCAGGCAAGGCATTCCACGCCCTTACTACTCTCTGAGTAAAGAACCTACCTCTGACATCTGTCCTATATCTATCACCCATCAATTTAAAGCTATGTCCCCTCGTGCTAGCCATCACCATCCGAGGAAAAAGGCTCCCACTGTCCACCCTATCTAATCCTCTAATCATCTTGTATGTCTCTATCAAGTCACGTCTTAACCTTCTTCTCTCTAACGAAAACAGTCTCAAGACCCTCAGCCTTTCCTCATAAGACCTTCCCTCCATACCAGGCAACATCCTGGTAAATCTCCTCTGCACCCTTTCCAATGCTTCCACATCCTTCCTATAATGCGGTGACCAGAACTGTACGCAATACTCCAAGTGCGGCCGCACCAGAGTTTTGTACAGCTGCAACATGACCTCATGGCTCCGAAACTCAATCCCTCTACCAATAAACCTAACATATTGTACGCCTTCTTAACAACGCTATCAACCTGGGTGGCAACTTTCAGTGATCTATGCACATGGACACCGAGATCTTTCTGCTCATCCACACTACCAAGAATCTTACCATTAGCCCAGTACTCTGTATTCCTGTTACTCCTTCCAAAGTGAATCACCTCACACTTTTCCGCATTAAACTCCATTTGCCTCCTCTCAGCCCAGCTCTGCAGCTTATCTATGTCCCTCTGTAACCTGCAACATCCTTCCGCACTATCCACAACTCCACTGACTTTGGTGTCATCCGCAAATTTACTAACCCATCCTTCTACGCCCTCATCCAGGTCATTTATAAAAATGACAAACAGCAGTGGCCCCAAAACAGATCCTTGAGGTACACCACTAGTAACTGAACTCCAGGATGAACATTTCCCATCAACCACCACCCTCTGTCATTTGCGGAGTTTGTGTCAATTCTTAAATCTGTCAGTTTTTGCTTGTCTTCTGAGGTGCTGTTCATGACAGACAGTATTTAAAAATTGGAGAGAGGATGAAGTCAAGAGTACAGGACTTAGGAGATAGTGAGAACTGCCGATGCTGGAGTCAGAGATAACACAGTGTGGAGCTGGAGGAACACAGCAGGCCAGGCAGCATCAGAGGAGCAGGAAAGTTGATGTTTCGAGAACAAAAACAAAGTTGCTGGAAAAGCTCAGCAGGTCTGGCAGCATCTGTGGAGGAGAAAGCAGAGTTAACGTTTCGGGTCCGGTGACCCTTCCTCAGAATGGATGTTTTGGGTCTGAAGAAGGGTCCCGACCCGAAACGTCAGCTTTCCTGTTCCTCTGACGCTGCCTGACCTGCTGTGTTCCTCCAGCTCCACGCTGTGTTAGGATTTAGGAGATTTTCTGTTTTCTGCCTGCACAAGGCACATGTGACATGAATGAACCAAAGAAGGAGAAAATCTCAGAGGTATTATGGTGCAGAGGAGGCCATTCAGGCACATTGTGCCTGCACCGGCTCGTTAAACAAACATCATTACCTCGTGCCAATCTCCTGCTTTTAGCCCAGACCCTCGCACATTATTTTTATCCAAATAATTATCCAACGCTCTCTTGAATGCTTTGTTGAATGTGCCCCCAGCAAGTAACTTCCCAAATACTGCAAGAAATAACTAGGAAGCCAAAATAGTTCCAAACAAATGAAGGGCTTTCTGTTTTCATCAATAATGCAGATAAATCTTGTTTAGTGACAATAAATACGATGGGGAGATATGCAAATTTTAATTGCTTCAAACCCCTGCAACTATGTGCTGTGCACTTGCCGTAAGGTGGCAGCAGTGTGCTATTCCTGTTGCAGTCTCCTCCAGGATCCGATCTCCCTGCAGCGGAGCCTCAGATTAAGGGAGCAACTGCAAACTCTTACATTAAAGTTTTATTTTCATGGCTGGGTTGCAAGTAAAGCGGAGGTTCTGATTGCATGAGTAGTGTTGCAAAGACCCGACTGTCTACACATTCTCCCCAAAGTACAGAGTCCATGGGTTATGTCTGAGAGTTTGCAAACTTGAACATATCGACCAGTTTAAGAGAATACTTAGAATCTTTTGGTGCTTGTTTCTTTTTTAACAGTCAAATAGTTTTTCAGGTTCGAAAAGGGAAGTCCGACTGTATTCAATTTCAGGCAGTGTTCCATTCTGGTATCAGCTCATAAGTCAGTCAGTGAGCTTTACACGGTCTGGAGGGAGAGATCCCACCCAGAGTGAGACACAGTGACCATATAGTTTGACGAATTTAGATGCAATGTGGGAATTTGGTGCAGAGGGAAAGAGGTGATTTTTGCTTGTTTCTTTTTGGTTTATAGTTTGTAAGGTTTTATTTTAAGCGAATAAATTGAACCCAGGATCAGGGGCCCAGATTGAAGGTAAATAAGTGAAATAGTTACAGGCTACAAACAAAAAGACCAGTACAAAATATTTAAGAATCAATTAAGAACTAACTATTTGAAGCAGAGATGTCTGGGCAGGCAATGTGTTGTAAATACATGATATGGGAGTTGCTGGGCCCCAATGTAGCTCATGGAGTCACATCCGTAGCAAGTATCAGAGTTGATGAGCTGGAGTCTGAGCTCTGCGACATATCGGGGAGGTGGAGCATTACCTGGACACTGTGTTTCAAGAACAAAAACAGAAATTGTTGGAAAAGCTCAGCAGGTCTGGCAGCATCTGTGAAGAAAAAAAATCAGAGTTAACGTTTCGGGTACCGTGACCCTTCCTCAGAACTGTAGATTATAATTTGGGGAATTTGGATGCAATGTGGGAATTTGGTGCAGAGGGAAAGAGGTGATTTATGCTTGTATTTTTTTTGGTTTATAGTTTGTAAGGTTTTGTTTTAAGCGGATAAATTGAACCCAGGATCAGGAGACCATCAGAGTGACATCACAGGTAAACTAAAAGTGTATTGGTTGGTGTTCACAACTAAACTTACCTAAACTTACCTCGAGTTGGGTCAGTGGTCAGGGACAGGAGGGTGTGACTATCAGTGAGGCAGGTGGAGGGACCCAGAAGGTGGTGCTGAAGGAGCCTCAGTCCTTGAGCGTGTCTAACAGGTTTGAGCTGCTTGTTCTCTGTGTAGATGAGAGTGGGGGGGAGGGGGGTGCTGTAGGGAGGATGAGCAAATTGACTATAGCACCATGGTACAGGGAACCATTCAAAACAGGGGAGAAAAGAGAAATGTAGTAATAATCGGGAATAGCATAGTCGGGGGAATAGATACTGTTCAGTGTGACCAGGATCGAGAATCCCAAAGGCTCTGTTGCCTTCCTGGTGCCCGGGTTCAGGAAATCCCATCTTGTCTGCAGAGGAACTTGGAGCAGAAGGGGAAAGACCTAGTTGTTATGGTCCACTTAGGTACCAGCAATATCGATAGAAAGAGGAGAGAGGTACTGCTGAGGGAATATGAGCAGCTAGGGGCTAAATTAGAAAGCAGAACCAAAAGGGTATTGCTGGATTACTACCTGAGCCACAAGCTCAGCACAGCATCAAATCGCATGGCTCAAAGATTGGTGTGGGAGAAACTGGTTCAAATTTGTGAGACGTTTGCACCAGTACTGGGGAAGGAGGGAGCTGTTCCAATGGGATGGGCTCCACCTGAGTCATGCTGGGACCAGAGTCCTGGTGAATCGCACAATAAGGACTGTGGATAGGGCTTTAAACTTGTGTGTGTGTGTCCGCGTGTGTGTGTGTCTGTGTGTGTGCGTGTGCGCGCATGTATGTGTGTGTGTGTGAGAATGTGTGTGTGTGACAATGTGTGTGCACATGTGTGTGTGTCTGCGTGTGTGTGAGAATGTGTGTGTGTGAGTGTGTGTCTGTGTGTGTGTCTGTGTGTGTGTGTGTGTGTGTGTATGAGAGTGTGTCTGTCTATGTGTGTGTGTGTCTGTGTGTGTGTGTGTGTGAGAGTGTGTCTGTCTATGTCTGTGTGTGTGTGTCTGTGTGTGTCTGTGTGTGTGAGAGAGAGAAAGTGAGTGGGGTGTATGGTTCTTTTGCATGAAAAATTATGAAAAAAATTAAAAGCTTAAAAGTTAAAGGGGTGGCTCAGCAGAGGTTATTAAAATTTCCACAACAAGTAACCAGGCAGAGAGGATGCAAGCGTCAGGAATCTAACTTCAGACACAGCAGATAAGGGGACAGTAATGAGACAGGGGGCAGTCAATGCAGGACTGAGGGTGTCAAACTTAAACAGACACAGTTTACAAAACAAGGTAAATGAGCTTGTAACGCAGATAGAAATTAGTAGGTACAATGTTGTGGCTATCACAGAAACATGGCTGCAAGGGGATCAGGGCTGAGCACTATATATCCAAGGATCACATCCTATGAACAGGACATCAGGTGGTCAGGGGCGTGGGTTTACCTTGTTAGTAAGAAATGAAACTAAACAAGTGATATAGTCGGAAGATGTAGAACCTGTGTTTACACTGCTTGCACGATCCCTTAAAGCAGGCTCTTAGTGAATTAAAGCTTCAGACTGCCTCTCTTGGAATGACAATAGTCCTCTATCAGTTTTACTTTCCAATATAAAGCCTGGGACATTCATTGTGGAGATATGGGAACAGTCTGATCCCACCGTCTGCAGACACATCCATATCACCGGGAACCAGC